TTTGAGTCCGCAGATCAACGCTGAGCCAAGCTGGTAGGGCTAGTTTTTTGTTTTTTAAATTCTCATGCAGGATATTTCTAGAGAGAATGAATGGGAGAGTGCGTGTGTGTGTGTGTGTGTGTGTGTGTGTGTGTGTGTGAGAGAGAGAGAGAGAGAGAGAGAAAGAGAGAGAGAGAGAGAGAGAGAGAGAGAGAGAGAGAGGGAGAGAGAGAGAAACATCAACATGAGAGAGACACATCGATCGGTTGCCTCCCGCATGAGCCCCCACCAGGGTGGGGGACCTGCACCTGAGGTACATGCCCTTGACTGGGAATCAAACCCACAGCCCTTCAGTCCTCAGATGGAGCAAAACCAGCCAGGGCTAAGAGGTCTTTTACTGCCGTTTTGTCTCCGCCCTCACGGTGAGCGACCTCTACGGGATTCTCCCTGCACCTGCTGAGAAAAAGAGGGATACAGGCAGGCCTCAGGTACCCCAGACTCGATGTACGTCCTTTCGTGGTTACGTCGCCATCTCCCGTTTATTTATAAAAGAAAAGTCCCGTCATTTTGACGTCTGTACATACGTGCTTTATGTTTTTTATTATTCATTTACCACAAGTAAAAGTCAGGAATTGTTATCTTTTAAATTCTTTTTACTGTTTTGCTTCATTACTGCTGTGTATGTGCTCCATGTGAGTGACGTAGGTGCTTATGGAGGTGGGTTCCGACTTATAGTGAAAAACCACAGGATCGGATCTCCGAGGTAACCCGAGGACCCACCATAGGCGTCTTTTGAAACCCTAGATGGCGCATCCTATAAAGACAGTGATTTAGAGGCCAGGCTTGTACCCAGCCACGCCTTGGAAATGATACAAACCTCTAAGGTAACATTATAAGGTAGGATGCCACTTAACATCTGTCTTATCAGATATACTCAATTAAAAACAAACTGCAATATGCCCTGGCCATTGTGACTAAGTGGTTAGAGCATTGGCTGGCCCACCAAAGGGTCCTGGGTTCGATTCCCAGTCAAGGGCACATACCTGGGTTCCAGGTTTGATCCTGGTCCCAGCTGGGGTACGTGTGGGAGGCGATCGATCGATGTGTCTCTCTCACATCGGTGTTTCTCTCTCTCCTTCCTTCCCTCCCTTCCACCTTCTCTAAACATCAATGGGAAAAAATATCCTCAGTGAGGATTAAAAAAAGTAAACTGTAGCGAGAGGATCAGCAAAATGTACATGAACGTGGCTGGTTAAGTCAAATGTCCTAAAGCTTTAATTCAACATGTTTAAGTATGAATAATACTGCCCACGAATGACAGAGGCATACAGCATACATGAAGCATCCATGAGGTTATCCACGGTTATCAGAAACACCGCATGGATGTTGGAAATGGCACCTGTGAACTCCCACCATGGTGAGTAGTAGGCTGTCGGCTTTACCATATAAACTGTTCTGGTTAGTTCAAGGTGACCAGACGTCCCGCTTTTTGGAAAAATTGGGACGCGGGACAAAGTGTTAAAAATCGGGACTGTCACCCCAGGACTAACCTCCGCTGGGAGCCGCCCCGTCAGCGGCCGACTACAGCAATGCAGGCTTCAGCCAGGGCCTAGGTTTGTTTAAAGAGCATCTTTACGTAGTAAAACTGTTGTCAAACAGTGTTGTAATTTAACAGAGGCGTTGAATTGTGCAAGAGGTATACATTCCAGAGCGGCTTCCTGTGGGTTGGGAAGCTATTTTAAGCTGAGGCGTTCCGAAGGCGGCTCAGTCCCCAGGCGTCTAAGCTCTGCGCCCCACCATCCTCTCCTCCGGGTTTAGTCCAGGCCTTTCTTCAAAAAAGGGTGATGTACCGGTCTGCTGATCCACAGTAACGGGAAGTAACCGGGGCGATTTCCTGTAGCCAGAGAACACGTTTAGGTAGCAAAGTCAAGTGCAGTACACTCTCCTGTGACTAACCAGGACAGGCCGTGTTTCATCGTTCTCTAGGGTGCGGAATGGATCAAGCCAGCGTGGGAGCGTTTGTTACAGCTTGGCCATGCCTGTCAGCCCTCAGCAGCTGAAGTTCTGTCTCCATGGCTGGGGAGGAGGGCCGGCAGGCCGGGAGCGTGGAGGGGAGACACGACTGCCCTCTTGTGGGGACTGTTGTCATTGCTGCGCTACAGAAATCGGATGCACTAATAGTCACTGCACTTGAGGAACAAATGAGTTTCTCCTTTTTCGCAGGCGTTTGGTGGGAGTCCGGACACATAACAGAACCAAAGCCCGCCCTCTGAGTTTCATTCCACATCACATGCCATCAGGTGTTACACATGCAAAACACTGCAAGTTACTCACAAAGGACTGTTTATGAGCAGGCATTGATGCTGTTAGATACCAACTGGGCTTGAAGTTTCAGACATGTTTTGGATTTCCTGGTAGAACAGCAATACCCCTGACAAACATCAAGATTTTATATAATCACAAGTATTTTAGGAAAATGTAACAAAAATTTAGGTAAATTCATGACTTAGCAGAGCACCTTCATTTCTAAAAATGTTAACTTATTTGAAATTTGAATGTTATTTATAGATTATTTAAGACTCCTTAGTGATCATAAACTTTTTGGTTGTTAATCCTCACCCAAGGATACTTTCCCAGTGAGTTTTAGAGAGTGGAAGGGAGGGGGAGAGACAGAGAGAGGGACACAGCGATCGGCTGCCCCCCACACCAGGAGGCATCACAACCGAGGTACATGCCCTTGACCAGAACCGAACCCGAGACCCTTCAGTCTGCAGGTTGATGCTCTATTCACTGAGCAACCCAGCCAGGGCTAAACATGTTTATCTGTTCTCTTCACATTTAAAAATGTTTAATTGTAGTAAAATACACAACATAAAATTTGCCATTTTCACTATGGGCGGACAGTTAAACATTCACGCTGTTGTGCAGCCATCACAGCATCCTCTCCAGAACTCGTTCCCCTTCGCAGACGGAGCTCTGCACTGTTACACACCAACTCCGCATGCCCCAGCACTGCACCTACATCCTCCCTGTCTCCAGGGGCTGCCTGCCTGGGCCCTCACAGAGGTGGAATCACGCAGTGTTTGTCTTTTTGTGTCTGGCTTATGTGATGTCCTCAAGGGCCATGCGTGTGGCAGCAGCTGTCAGTTTCCTTCCTTTTTGAGGCTGAGTACTATCCCATTGTATGGATGGACCACGCTTATTTATTTATCCATCCATCCATCCATCCACCCATCCATCCATCCATCCATCCATCCATCCATCCACCCATCCATCCATCCATCCATCCATCCATCCATCCATCCATCCATGATAACTAGTGGCTTCCACTATTGGGGACTGTGACTAGTGCTGCCATGACTGTGGGTGTGCAACTATCCCTTCAAGGCCCCTTTCAGTTCTTTGAGGTGTACACCCAAACTGCTGGATCATAGGGTGGTTCTATTTGCAATGGTTTTGAAGAACTGCCCTACTGTATTCCACAGGGAGGGGCTGCACCATTTTACATTCCCACCAACAGTGCACAAGCGTTTCAATTTTCCCACATCTTCATGGGAGGCAGGGAGTGAGGCATTTTTAGAACCACCACGCACGCTTTATAACAAAGATAACTTTAAGTCATTTTATTGAGTTATGCAAAATATCTTTAAACAAATAGTAAAAAAGTAAGAAACAATTACAAAAGTTCAAATAGTCAGAATGGTAGCATATAACCGACCACAGATGATGTCTCACTCAGTGACTTCAATGGTTTGCTGTTACGAAGAGAATTAATGCCCTTCCACATGCTCACCTTGTCCAGTGCTTCTGACCGGGGTGTTTTTAACAACAGATCAGCATTTTAAGAATTGGAACCGAGCTAACAAGATGGGAGCGGTTCTTCCACAATGCAGTCACGGTGATGTACACGTATATCACATCACAGTGATGTGCTCATCAACATCTTACATTTTTGTCAGTTAGACCTCAATTAAACTAAGGAAAAAGAAAGAATTTGCATTTAGGACCCATCATTGATTTTAAGCCCTAGGGAGAAAATTTCACAGCAAAAGCAAGTGCTGAGCTCAGAAAAAAAAAAAAAAAAAAGTGACTTATGAAGACAGGCACTAGTTGACTTTAATTCTGGGCCTTTCAGATGCTGTTTGGAGACAGGAAGGTCTCAGCTGAGGAAGGCTCGCTGTTTACAGGGGCTTCTAAAGAAGCACAAATTCTTCTCGAGTACACATTTTCACCTCCGGGATTTTGTTTTTTCTCTGCCAATTATTTTGAAAGTTTAGAGTGGTTTTAGCAGGACAAAGGGGGATGGACAGGTATGCTGATCCGCAGAAATGGGAAGTGACCAGGGTGATTTCCTGTAGCCAGAGGAAACAGTTTAGAGAGCACACGGAAATGTGTATGCAGACTTTGCTCAGACACCAGGGCGAAATAGGTTAAATATGTTAAATTACAACACTTAATTCGACTAAAATTTTCTAGTCAAATTTAGAGTTTTTCATTTCCTACTCAATTTTTTTTTGTGTGTAATATTAAGGCTCTTTGTGTTGAATCAATCTAGAACTCATTAAAAGTATTATGATGGCTTTAAATTTTATGCAAAATTCATTTGAACAAAAAAGGATATAAAATTAATATTTTATGTTTAAAAACTGTAATACTAGAACTAACACGGGCACGTTTTCCAGCTTTGGCTGTTGGCCAGAGCACTCCATAGCCTGTGCTACGACAGAAACAGGCATTGTTCAAAACTCATTGCTCACTAGTCCTGGGCCACTTTCACCAAAATCTAGTGAATGAATTCATGGGTTTGGGATTTTATCCCTCAATTCAAGATGTTGGCCTCTTATAAAATACCTGCCATGTTTTTTTGTTTTAATTTTGTAAACATTCAGTGAAACACAGGCAAACAATTCTAGGTACTGTGTGCAGCTTTGGAAGAAACTATGACTATCAGTGTCACCAATTTCATTGTTTCAAAGAGGACGCCAAGCACTCCTAACCCGCGTGGGAATGACCAGAACGCCTCACTCATTCAGCATCTTGAGGACCATCTCGCAGGTCAGGTCTCCGTCCAGGTCCATGAGTCCAGCTCCCCCGGAGTGGACAGGACTCATCTCTCCTGGGTACTGGTCTCCCCTCACCACGGAGGCCTCCTTGGCCTCCCCGGCAGCGGCTTCTGGGGGGGACGGGGAAGAGGGAGAAAGGCACAGGGTTGACAAATTTAAAAGAAAGCCATGAAGTCAGTGCACATGTATTTTGGAAACAATGGTTTGATGTTTAGCCCAGCAGCACGCTTTTCAGAAAGCCATTTTTCTGTGGACGGGACAGGACGATCAGTCTGCTCTCAGCTCTGCCTCTGCCAGGGTTTCCCAGCCTCAGCTCCACAGATGGTCCCTGCTGTGGGGCTTTAACCGAAACCCCGTGCATTGAAGTGGAGCCATGTATCTCTCCGGATGTCTTCAGATCCCTCCCTCTCAGCCCCACCCAGGAGGCCTGGTCTTGCTGTTGGACTTCACCTAGTGTACCTGCCGTGGGTTAAATCCTTGCCCCCTGCCTCCCCCCCGCAGAAGTTGTGTCCACACCCTGACACCTGACCTGAGTGTGACCTTTTTTGAAATAAGGGTCCTTGGAGATGTATTTAGGGATCTCGAGATGAGATCATGTCAGTTTCCCAGGCAGACCCTAAGCCAGGACGAGGGGCTCTATAAGAGTCAGGAAAGATGAAGCGGACAGAGAGGTCATGTGACGACAGTCTGCGGGGAGCCGCCAAGAGCCAGGGAACGCTGGGGCCGCCAGCAGCTGGAAGAAGCAGGAGGCTCCTCCCCTGTGGCCTCCAGAGAGAACAGGGCCTGGCCACGCCTGGGTTCAGGATGACTGGCTCCAGACTGCGGGGGGCCAGACCTCCCTGGTCCAAGCCCCCAATGTGCGGTCATTATTGCAGCATCTCGGGTGCAAACACAGCCCCCAGCAACCCAGGGCTCTGCTGTGGGAGCTTCAGGGACCTGAGGGCAGTGGGCATGTGCGGCTGTCATCCAGCCCCCCAGGAACCCATGTGGTGGGGGGTGTGGACCCCCCCTCCAGGGATCCCCAGTCACTTCCCTACTCCGACCTCCCTGCAGCCCTGAGAGGGGTTAGTGACCAGGCTGCTCTGCCCATGGCCACACGGGCCACGTGGAGCGCCAGACCCGCCCCATGTGGCAGGAAGCCGCTCCCAGGCCGGGCGCCCTCGGGCCTGGTCCTCAGGGCTCCTGGGTGCGCTCCCCGCCCCCCGGGGAAACGCAGGGAGAACATAGGGTCCATTCAAACCCGATACGTTTAAAAGGAGGTACCGGCTTCCTCCTCCGGGATCGCCCAGGTCCTCGCCGCGGTGCGTCCTCCCGCTCCGGCTGCCGCCGCACACCTCTCCGCGTGTCTCCGCATGTTGGTCTGCGGGAAGCGACACAGACGACACGGACAGGCTGAGCGCCCGGAGGAACGCGGCCCAGGACGCGCCGGGGACCAGGTGGACAAGGTGGCGGGCGCCAGGCTCTTCCGCCAAAGGGTGGCCTCGCTGGCGTGGGTGGGTCTAGCTGCATGCGGGTGCATGGCAGGGAGTCCTTTCTAACCAAAGTCAGAGTGTGCTTTCCTAGATTGCTTCTACTCTCCAAGGTGAGGCTGGATATTAAACCTGAAATTCAATCTAGTGGCCGGTTTTATGAAAACCAATAACAGAGCGGAGCCATCCGGCCCTGCCAGCGCCTTGCTACCCGCTGAGTTATGAACGCCGCGGACGGCAATCAGGTTACGGTGGGCGTCTCGGGGCCCGGTGGAGCCTCCGCGACAGATTCGCAGGGAGGGACGCGGAGGAGGATGTGAAATAAGGCAGAGAACGTTCCCTCTCTGGAAAGCCCACGGGCTGATGGAAGGTACCGGTGACACGCCATTAGATTTGCCAACCACATTAAATTCCCATTTTGACTTCAGGACGGGGCTTCCTGGGCTTACGGGTGGCAGAAGGGGGTTCGCATATAACAGAGGGGGGAGGTTATGGGTTAGAGAAACTCCCATTTGGCATTCATGCACAGGGGCTGGCGCCGGTGGCCGCGGGCAGCCTGGCTGGCCAGCGGCTCTGTCCAGCGAGCGCTCTGGGCCAAGCCGCCGCCTTCATTTGGGAGCCTCTACCTCCAGCGGTGCTCATGCTTTAACCTCAGACGTGAGCCATCGGGGAGGAGAGGCCCTGTCTGCTCTGAGAAGCTGGCCCTTCACGGAAAAGCCTGCAAGCCCTGGTTGGCACGGTGGTGGACACCGGAAGCCTCTAAGGTGGAGGATGCCACTGAGGATAGAGGGCATTGGTTCCTTCCCCAGAGAAGTGCAGACATGTCCACACCAATCTCTCCCTACAGCCCCAGCACGCTCGTGGTTAAGAACGTCTCATGTGCCAAAACCGGTTTGGCTCAGTGAATAGAGCCTCGGCCTGCGGACTGAAGGGTCCCCGGTTCAATTCCGGTCAAGGACATGTACACTGGCTGCGGGCACATCCCCGGTAGGGCGTGTGCAGGAGGCAGCTGGTCGATATTTCTCTCCCATCAATGTTTCTAGCTCTCTATCCCTCTCCCTTCCTCTCTGTAAAAAATCAATAAAATATATATATATTTTTAAAAAAAAGAATGTTTCATGTCAGTTCTGAATGAACAAAGAAGTCAAACGAAAGCACACCAGCCTCTCAGAAGCAGGTGGGGTAATAACCCTCCAGAACACCCAGGCTCTGTAGGGCTCAGGGGCCGAGGTGACGTGACATGACGAACACTGTGCCAGAGAGAACTCAGGTTCTCCTCCTGGAGGACCCCGCGTCCCAGTCCCGAGCAGGGTCCTCGGGAGGAAGGGGACCTGGCCGGTGACGTCCTGGGGCTGCTGTGGGTAAAGCACGGAGGCGTGCTGCCCGGGCTGGTGTGGCTCAGCTGGTTGACCATTGTCCTGCACCCCGAAGGGGGGCAGGTTCGACTCCCAGTCAGGGCACGTTCCCGGGTTGTGGGTCTGGTCCCCAGTCTGGTGGGTGCGGGAGGCAACCGACTGATGTGGGGAAGATGGGGATTCTTCACATGCCCCGGCCCACCTCTGCACACCTCCCCCCGCTGTCACCACCCCGCCTGACGGCACATTCGTTATAACTGACGAATCTACACTGACACGTCTGCATCACTCAAAGTCCTCAGATTAGCTCCGCGTTCACGCCTGGTGGTGTATGTGCAGTGGGTTTGGACAGATGTATAATGACACGTGTCCATCATGTGTCATACGGAGTAGTTTCACGGCCCTAAAAACCCTCTGTGCTTTGTCCACTCATCCCTCCCTCTCCCACTCCTGAAAATCACTGGTCTTTTCCTGTCTTCAGAATTTTGCCTTTTCCAGAATATCATCTAGTAGTTGGAATTAAACGGTACATAGCTTTTCAGGTTGACTTCTTTCCCTGAATAATGTGCATTTAAGACTCTCCCTCGTCGCCCGGCTGGTATGGCTCAGTAGTTGAGCGTCAGTCTATGAACCAGGAGGTCACGGTTCGATTCCCAGGTGGTGGGCTCAGTCCTCGGTAGCGGATGAACAGGAGGCAGCTGATCAATGTTTTCCTCTCATTGAGGTTTCTATCCCTCTCTCCCTTCCTCTCTCTGAAATCAATAAAAACGTATTTTTAAAAAAGCAACAGCAGGAAAAGCTTTTTAAAAGGTTCCCATCTCTCCATGGCCTGGCTGCTCACTTCTTTTCAGTGCTGGGCAATCCCCCATTGCCCGGATGGCCACAGTTTAAGTGCCCGATCATGTACCGAAGCTGCCAGGTTGTGGCTAGTATGAATGAAACTGCTGCACAGAAGGTCTTCCTGTGGACACAGGCTTCCACTCCTTTGGGTAAATACCAAGCATTGTGGTTGCTGGATTGTGTGGCAAAAATAGGTTCAGTTTTGTAAGAAATGACAAAGTATCTTACAAAGTGTCTACGTCATTTTGCGTTCCTGCCAGCAATGCTTTTTAAAAAAATGTTTTTATTGATTTCAGAGAGAGAGAGAGATGGAAACTTCAGTGATGAGAGAGAATCATTGGATCCCCTACTGGGGATCGAGCCCACAACCCGGGCTTGTGCCCTGACTGGGAATTGAACCACGACCTCCTGGTTCAGGGGTGGACGTTTCATCTTTGAGCTTATTTTATTTTTATTTATTTATCTGTTAATCCTCATTAGAGCATACTTTCCCATTGGTCTTTAGAGAGAGTAGTAGGAAGGGAGGGGAAGAGAGACCAGGGGTTGGAGGGAGAGCGGGGGAAGAGAGAGAGGAGGCGGGGAGAGAGAGAGAGAGACATCAATGTGAAAGAGACGCATGTGGGATAGAATCCAGATACATGCCCTTAACCAGGAACCACGCCCACGACCCTTTGGTGTGTGGGCCGAAGGCCTAACCACTGAGCACCAGCCAGGGCGGCTTCCCCTCGGCAAACCCACCAGCAGCCTCAGAGCTCTTTCCCGCTCTCCCATGGCGTCTTTTGTTAATTAGTTAATCCTGGCACCGGAGGATATTTTCCAATTGATTTTTTAGGGAAAGTGGGAGAAGGAGGGAAAGACAAAGGGAAACATTCACATGAGAGAAACACATCAATTGGTTGCCTCCTGCCTGCGCAGGGTCTGGGCCGGGGAGGAGCCTGCAACCCAGGTACTAGTCCTTGGTCAGAACTGAACCCAGGACCCTTTGGTCCGCAGGCCAACGCTCTATCCACAGAGGCAAATAGGCTGGGGCCATTCTGTCTTCCTTAATTGTAGCTGTCACAACAGCAGGCCCTAGGGTGATGCTGATTCAAATTTCCCTGGTAACTAATGATGCCACGCATTTCTCATGAGCTTTGGAGAAGTGTGTGTTTAGATAATTTTCCTGTTTTTAATTGGTTACCTGACTTTTTGTTGTTATTAAGTTGTAAGAGGTTTTTTTGTTTGTTTGTTTAATATATTCCAGATGTAAATCCAAATACCTTCCTTTTTGAATGAAAGACAAAGTTTCAAAGCTTCTGATCCCACTGAGGCCAATTCATTCTGTCCTCCGCTTTCTGTTTCTCTCACCAGAGGGCGCTCCACTCAATGTTCACCCCATAGGAATGCTCCTTCTTGGAGCGCTGCCATGACTTTTGACATTTTGAACTACTGGCACCAACACTCCAGAATCATCCCACTATGCTCCCTACCAAGCATACAATGACCCTACCTTTCAAGAGAAAATAAAGTTTTCCCCATAAAAATAGTCAACTTCAGATAACTCAAAACTTTTGTAAAGTTAGCGTGGAGCAGCCATCATCTCAGGATCTAGCTCATCGTGTGTGTGTGTGTGTGTGTGTGTGTGTGTGTGTGTGTGTGTGTGTTGTGTGTGTTGTATGTATGTTGTGTTGTGTGTATGTGATGCACGTGTATGTGTGTACGTGTGTTGCATGTGTCGTGTGTATGTGTTGTATGTATGTTGTGTGTATGTGTATGTTGTGTGTGGTGTGTGTGTGGTGTGTGTGGTGTGTGTGTGTGTGTGTGTGTGTGTGTGTGTGTGTGGACACTCTTCCTTTCCAAAGGGCCTCATGCCTGCCTTTGAGTGTGGGCCGGACTCAGTGGTTCGTTTCTAATGAACAGAAGTGATGTTGTCACTTTTAAGACCAGGTGACAAAAGGCTCGGTGGCTTCCTCCTTGCACGCTGGAGCTGTCCAATCGAGAGGCCTGTGTGCCAGGAACCCAGGCTGGTGCCTACCCCACGGAGTGGCTCCCAGCCAGGGCCACCTTCAGAGGGCACAGCCCCGCCCACACCCTGAGGCAGCCTCAGGGGCCGGGAGCCAGAGAGTGGGCCACGGGACCTGAGGCCACACAAGTTTGGTGCTTAAGCCCAGCAGCGTGAGGCAATTTGTTAGTCCGAAAACAGAAAACAAGCACAACACCCCAGATAATAAAGCGGGAGGGTAAACAGTGTGCTTAGCACGGCACCGATAGCACTATGGTAAGGTCATCTGTGACCCCTGGCCGGTTTGGCTCATGGTAAGGTCATCTGTGACCCCTGGCCGGTTTGGCTCAGTGGAGAGCGTGTCGGCCTGTGGACTGAAGGCGCCCGGATTTGATTCCCGCCAAGGGCACATACCTGGGTTGCGGCTTGACCCCCAGAGGGGGCTGTGGGAGGCAGCCAATCAATGGTTCTCTGTCATCACTGATGTTTCTATATCCCTTTCCTTCTCCCTTCCTCTCTGAAATCAATAAAATATATATATGCCATCTGTGAAACATTTCGAAAATTGCTTTCTCTCTGTGAAGAAGCCCAAATCGAATTCACAGGAACAATTTTAAGAGTTACCCTAAAACTAGGGATTCTCCCTGGACTGCCGTGGGTCTGGGAATCCCTAAACGTGTTTGCACGGCTTTGTCTGCAGGACTGCCTTCTCTTGGAGAAGGAGAGCGCACACTTTGATGAGATTTCAGGAGTCCTGTGGCTGCTAACACCTCCCCACGCACAGAGGTGCGCCTGGCCTCCGTAATTGGGTTTCCGCCCGGAGGGGGCGCTGTGCGGGAGGAAGGGGTCCTTCCAGGAGATGGATGGGGAGCTT